TTAGCTCACAGCAAATGTGAGAAGAGTGAAGACATCAGAAGCAGAGAAACAGTAGGAGTGAAATTGAAATTTTCACTGATACATGGTCTGTATATGCACTTGTACAGCTGTAACTGGTTGATAAGCGTGTGCCCAGTCAAAGTCACTGGCATCATGCATCAGATCAATAGTCTCTACAGGGTCACCACTTTCCCAGATCCACACAGAGCTTTCTCAGTCTTTTACTCCATCTCCACTTCAGTCCACCACCTGTTCCCCTGGGATGTAACAATTGTGCCCTACTAATATGACCACAGAGCATCTGGCAGGCAAGCTTTCTTTTCTCTTATGTCAGGCACTCTGATTGGTCAACACCGTGAGAAGCTCCAGTCAGACCAAGACCCACACATTCATATGGAGATGTGGGAGTATAAATAGGAGGGATGAAGGCAGCAGTGATCAGAGTCTCTCTACAGAGACCTCTACAGCACAGAGATCCAGCCATGGCAGCTACAGTCTCTCCAGTAATGACTAATTTTCAGGATCATCTCGCTTTGACTCATAAGGTAAATTGGAGATAATCTGAATGTCATTCATTATTCATGAAAGATTGCATTTGATAAAGCTAAGCCTGTTCATCTGAATTATTTTATTAATGACTTTGTTCTTCTTCTTGTAGCTCAGAAAGCCTCTGGTGGAGAAGATCCACAGAGTGAATCAACAGCAGTACTGAACAGCTCAAGTCTCTTCTGGGTCCTGAGTCCCTCAAACAGCAGCCAGACTCCAAACTGAAGAAGCCAGACGTCCTCGAGATGACCGTTTGCTACCTGAGAAGACCGCAGCAATAGTGTCATCCAGTGGACTCAGCAGCTGTTGATAAGAGCTATTCCAGGTGTGCCCAAGAGATGGTCAACTTCCTGCCAAAGGTGGACCTGAAGACTCAGTCCCAGAGAAACCTGCTGAACCACATCAACCAGCTCCCCACTTCCTCTGATAAAACCCTGAGTGAGGCTGACTTCTCTCCTCTGAGCTACACAGTCCAGACCAGCATCACCAAAGACAACACACTCACCAGCTCCCTCTGGAGGCCGTGGTAGAAACCTACAGACTGGAATCAATACTAAATCATCTACACTGATCATATTGGTCAACGATTGCAGGGAAAGAAAATTCAAAGACTTGTTCTTCTGTATGTACAGAAGGTTTTACTTTGTGTATTTGTTCTTGGTCACAGATGATATTTCCTGCGGAAATGACACCAACCATCTTTGTAATAGAGAGAGAAAACATTTTGTCATGCAATAGACAAGCTTAAAGACCATGTTGGTCAGTCTTTTTCTTCTGTGTTTACAGAAGGTTTTATTTTAAACTAAATGCATTGTATTTAAGTATATATGTTTTAATTACTCAGGATGGACTTGTGAAATTATTTTTATCCTTTTGTATAAGAGGGTACGGTAGATAGAAGCATGTCTAGACTGTAAAGCATGTGAACTTTATATATATATATATATATGTATATCGACTTTACTTTGTATTAAGTACTAATGTCAAATTGTGATCATTGTGATAAGATGCGCTTCAGCGTCATTTTTTTTCTTCACCCTTGTTATAAAGTGTGGTTTATGCTCATTTTGGAGCACATTATATGAAGATTTGTGTTATAATGTTTAAGTTCTTTTGTAAAGACGACTGATCCTAAACTCATTTTGGGTTCAGTGTCCTGCTGATAAAGCTGTTCTGTGATGTATCATCACCTCTATCGTCCTCCAATAGGAGCTTTCATATATAAAACAGATAATACTGAGTTTAACTTAATAAGCTGTGAAAAATCAAAAAATAATTTTTTTTCTGTTGCCTGGTCATTATATATATATATATATATAATTATATATATTATAATATATATATATATATAATTCTATATATATATAATATTATATATATAATATATACTTATTTTTGCAGTGAGTCTGCAATCATTCTTTAAAAATCCCATACAGTGATTTCTTATATAGCATAATATTGTAATATAATATTGTAATATGGTAATGTTATACAGTAGTATAAAGTATGATATTTGAAGAAGTTCTTATTAATGTATTACAATTGTAAATTATTTAGAGCTTTCAAAATATCAAAGTTATCAAAGTAACTTTGGAGCAGTTCTCAGTTCCAGAAGATAAAACTTGCAGTGAAAAGACAGAGTGTGGGAACTCAGAGAAAACTCACTCACTGTGTCTCAGGGGGGCAATACATGCCAACCTTTTTTCTGAGGAGACAAAGCAGGAAAGGTGATATGGTTGAATGAAAAGTGGAACCTGATCATACATAACAGACAGGTTTAAAATACTGAATAGCTAGTCATAGTACATGACAACACCAATAGAACAACACTGCAAAGGTCTTAGAACTATAGTGTTATAAAACTGCACGTTTTTTAAATCCCGGTGAGTGAGGGTGGATGCAAATTAAAATATTTAAAAGGCATAAACACATACACACAAAAAATGAAATGAAAATACTGATCTCTGTGTTCCCAAAGTAAATAAAAAAAAATAGTAATCTAAACCATTTCAGCATTTGTGAACTGTTGTCTATTTGGCACACATCAGAAACAGATTCTCAGTCTCTCAGCCCTGTTTCTGAAACTGTAATGTTTAACAGCTTGATGACTTTGCACATCATTTTCTACCAATATTTTGCAGCCCCACCCCCAAAAACTAGAGCTTATTTCTTAATTTGTATTCTAATATCTGTAGGTAGCTAGTATATTTTCCTATTGTTATTTATATTAATATTTTTAAAGAGATGTATATAGTTTATATATAGATAGATAGATAGACAGATAGATAGATAGACAGACAGATAGATAGACAGACAGATAGATAGATAGATAGATAGATAGATAGATAGATAGATAGATAGATAGATAGATAGATAGATAGATAGATAGATGCTGTCTGACTTCCTGTCTGCTGCTCTCTCTATCCTCTCTTCTACACCACACACACACACACACACTTTAAATAACATTTATTCAGTTTCTGTACCATTAACACCAAGATGAATTTGTGTAAAAACGTATCATTTTCAACAGATATAACTTAAATAGGCAAGTGCATATTATTATGAGAAACAGCTGATGTGGTTTTGACTTTAGTTTGGGATTTTATCACATGGTTGAAAACACCAATCATGTTGTTTCCCTCCAGAAAGGTTGGTGACATCAGACTCTGTCTCTGTCTGAGCACACAACCACAAACCATGACAAAAGCTGTTTTCAAAGACCTTTGTGGTGCACTTACCACCTCATTCAACACTGAGTGTGGGAATGTGGAGCAACTGTCTGCTCACACCATCTACAATCAACAAGACAGATGGTACATCTGTTACAGCTGGATAAGATGACTTCATTAAAAAAAAATATTAGCATTTTCCTTTTAACCAATTTGATTGTTAAATACAATATTGCACGTTTTTGAAATGATCCAAACTTTGTATATGATCTCAGTTTCCATATAGTTTTCACCATATACATCTTGAATGAGTGTTTTAGTTTACTGTGTAGCCTATGGTTTAACACGTCTGGTGGAACAATGAGAATATTCCTGATTAAAAACATTTATGACAGACTGAGTTGTCACTTTTTTTTGTTTGCAATGGGTCATAAGTTAAGTTAAACTCCATAAGGAAGTTTCCTTTGTGTAGTTATTTAGGTGGGAAAATGTGGCCAGTTTGATCTGCTGGAATTTGAAAACTTTTAAATGAAGCATTCAGACAAAACTGTATTGATCCACCAGAAAAAGCAGTAAAAAGATAGAAAATAGAGGGAAAATAGACAAGACTCACTCTCAGAGACCCAGTGGGAAAAACTTTAACGAAGTAAGGGTGGGAAACCTCAGACAGAAATGGTCACAGTACAAGTTGATTTGCATCCTAACCATGCACGAGTGCCGGACTATTGTCCAGAGGAATTTGGCACACTTCAGGAAACAGCTGTGTCGACCGCCTCATTTATAATCTGCAGCAGGTGTTTGTGATAAAATTGGAATTAAGTGAATTTAACCAAACTGCAAACTGAAAAACAGAAAACCAAGTTTTGTATTATCAGAGAATCTAAATGTATTTGCATTATATATTCCAATTTTAGCATGTCTGGAGGAAACCAATCATGTTATTTCCCTCCAGATGGTTGTTGACGTCAGGCTCTGTCTCTGTTGGAGCACACGACCACCGACCATCACAAAAGCTCCTTTCAAAGACCTTTGTAGTGCACTGACCACATCATTCAGCACTGAGTGTGGGAAAGTGAGAGCAGCTATCTGCTCACACCAACCACAAACTGAAAAGCAAAAAACACACCTGCTACATCTGGATATCAGAAAAAATGAGAAACATCCATACTATATGTTATAATGAAACAGTACTGTTCATTATTATAAATGATATTGTTTTCTAGTGTCCTTCAGCACTTGGGAAATGAATTTGGTCACTTTGCCACATGAGTTGAACTTCATGTCAGAAGGAAGAGATCAGATCTGACATTAAATGATTTTTCCATAGAAAAACACACAGACCATCTGATGTCTGATTGAGTTTGTGTGAGAACCAAAAATGTTACTTTCAGAATAATCAATGACACTAAGTGGGTGTCAGGTGAGACATGAAAAGTATCTTAATCAGAGAAACAGTTTGATTTGAAAAGCGTGTGCCGAGTCAAAGTCACTGATCTCAGCATCAGGCAGCAGATGTATCCTCTACAGGGTCACCACTTTCTCAGATTCACACAGAGCTTTTGGAGTCTTTTATGCTGACACACCCACCCAAAAGTGCTCCATCTGTTCCCCTGGGATGTATCAATTGTCCCCTACTAATATGACCACTGAGCATGTGGCGGGCAAGATTTCTTTTCTCTAATGGACAGCTCTGTGATTGGTCAAGACTGTGAGAAACTCCAGTCAGACCAAGACCCACACATTCATATGGAGATGTGGGAGTATAAATAGGAGGGATGAAGGCAGCAGTGATCAGAGTCTCTCTACGGAGACCTCCACAGCACAGAGATCCAGCCATGGCAGCTACAGTCTCTCCAGTAATGACTAATTCTCAGGATCATGTGACTCTGAATCATAAGGTAAATTGGATATTATCAGAATGTCATCCATTATTCTTTAAAGATTGTGTTTGATAACACTAAAAATATGCACCAAAACTGTTTTATTAATGACTTTGTTCTTCTTCTTGCAGCTCAGGAAGCCTCTGGTGGAGAAGATCCGCAAAGAGAGAATCAACAGCAGTATTGAACAGCTCAAGTCTCTTCTAGGTTCTGAGCC